CTTATGGAAACTGATGTTGCTTTGGCTGCAGGGTTTCTTTGGCGAGGTCTCTGAATCACTGGGAATGAGAATGAGCTTAGCTACTACCCAATCCAGTTCTAGTTCAATTCTACCAACTTTACAGCCATAAATGAAAGTCAAGCAAATACAAACCTTAGAATGCACAAGTATAGTGTTAACTTAAAAGAAACTGAAAGCATGTGAAACCATGAAAAAATCAACAAGAGGGAGAGATGGGCAGGTGTGGCCATGGGCACATGGTCTTCTTCCTCCTCTCTCATTACTCATAGTGAGTTGACTAGTTGGTGATAGTAAAATCAAATCAAATGGACAGGAGAAACTCCGGTTCTTCCAAATTGCTAATAAATCCTATTTTCGACGCGGCAGTTGACAGTTGAATCCGATTTTGACCATTATTTTCACAATCTCGAAAAGAAGTCCACCACAGCTATTTTATACTTGTTACTGACTGTCAAAATTGCTTCATCTTCAGTTAACAATATTCTATCCAATTACCAATTATGCTGAATCCCTAACTAAATTAAATCAATATTCAGTAAAATCTGTTCCAGTAGAGCCTATCCAAAGACCGTAATTCATTCCAATTGCAAACTAGTAGAATTAAATAAAAATCTTCAAGATCACTGAAACCCAAAAGTAAATTATTGCAGCATTCAAAGACAAAGTCGAAGTGCTTACAGATGGAAGAACCGGTGGCGAATGCCGTTCCAAATTTGCGAGAGAATCCAGCAGTTGAATTTTCTCTTGCCGGAGTTGACACGAAAACATCTGGAAACACACATATATAATCAACCGCAGTTATAGTTGTACCTGAAACTTGAAGAATAGTACGCATTATAAAATGGGGAAGAAATAGAATTACCTCGAATAGAAGTGTAATAGCAGAGGGAATTGGAAATTTGAGCCATGGCCATTTCTGGTTATAGGGAGAAAGTAGATGCAGTCCTCTCCTATCAATTGCTATCCCTCTTTCTCAAACAAATTGCAAAGTGAAGAACGAAGATTAGAAAATCGACACGTGTCATATCATTTTTCCTTCTGGAGATTTGGTGAAATAAGGATCGGTCTCTGATTTTTTATTTTTTAAAGGTTATTTTAAATTTTTAAAGGTGAAAAGCCTATTATAAATGTGGAAATTACAAAAAATAAGTGGTTTAAACTTTTTAATTCAAAATTCAGGTCCAAGTTTTATCTAATAAAAAATCAAGTATGATTTAAATATTTAAATAATATTATAATACTAATATTTCAAACCCTAATTCATTTTCTCTCACTACTTTCTCTCACCCTCTCCTCTCTCTCCATAATCGG